AATACAGTATAATGTAAGAAGAATTAAAACAAAAATATTATACAAGATAAATAGTGCATTGAAAATACTTACAAAATTAGTAAAAATATATTAACATTGAAACTTTTTTGGTCAAATTCTATAGCAACTAATTGCAACTTTTTAAAGGTTAAAGCAGGCATAGAAAAAAAAAAAAACAAAAGGAGCAACAGTGAGGCCCAAGTCAGTGGCTCGCACTCATCAGCGTCCTCCACCTAGCCCACAGTGGGGATGGAGAGGCTGCTCTCCCATGCAACATGCCTGTGCAACCCACAAATAGTAAGAAATCAAATGACATGTTAAAAAATGGGCAAAGGATCTAATCAAATAAGTCTCAAAATAAGGCATTCAAATCCAACAAGTTTACGAAAAAATGTTCAAAATCACTAATCAAGTAGTGCAAATTAAAATAATCAGAAGCTGGTTGCAAGGGTGGCATGGGTGTCATTGGGGAGATATTGATCAAAGGACAAAAAATTTAAGTTAAAAGAAATAAGGTCAAGAGAGTTATTATAATGCATAGCGACTATAGTTAGTAGCAATGCACTATATTCTAGAAAATTGCTAAAAGCATAGATTTTAAGTGTTTTCACTACAAAATGTAATATGTCTTTGAAGTAATGCATATGTTAGTTAGCTTGATTTATCTGTTTCTTTCTTTTTTTTTTTTTTTTGGAGAGATTTTCAGGATAGGGCACGTGCACTCGCCAGACAGACAGAGAGAGACATAGAGACAGAAAGAGAGAAATCACTCCCCCAGTTGGGGATGGTCACGCCGCAATCCCCTCTCATCCATTCTCCTCTTGGGATCTTGGGCACGCACGCACACGCGCCTGTTGTGAGTTTTAAGCTACCGGGTCCAGGACGCGAACCACAGTCGACTACATGGGAGTCCAGCGACATAGCCATTACGCTAACTGCTGGTCCTGATTTATCTGTTTCTTAATGTATATATATTTCTAAATAACATGTTGTATAATTTAAATGTCTATAATCTTTATTTCTCAAAAGAATTTTTAAAAAGAAAATATGTATTATTCTTTATCATCAAAGGAAAATAAAAATATAGAGGATATGAGTACTATATATAACAAGGCAAAATTAACACATAATACCAAACTTTACAACTTAAGGGAAAATGACTTTACTACTTCAATTGTACATAAAATATTCATAAATATTGATTTATGCCTTTTTAAGAGGTTTTTACCTTAGAGCACATGCACTCTCCAGAGAGAGAAAGAGACAGGGAAAATGAAAAATCACCCCCAGGGGAATGACCACACCACAGTCCCTTCTCCTCCATTCTCCTCTCAGGATCTTGGACACAATGTGCACATGCCCAGCATTATTTCCAAACCACTGGCTCTGGGACTCGAACCACAGTCACCCATGTCAGCATGGAGTCTAGGGACATAATTCTTACATCATCTCCTGGCCTTGTTTTATGCTTAAACCACCCAAAATAAGCATTCTAAAAGTGTAGAACTTTTATATCATTTTGAAATAAGTCAATAAAACAATAAAAATTTTAATATTTTTGAATTTGATTTCCTATATGTTGTCCACTTTATTTTTTTAAGTTTTTATTTTTTTTCCCCATAGGGCACATGTGCTTCCTAAGGAGAGATAGAAAGATAGTGAGAGGAAAAGTGAGAAATCACCCCACCCCCTAGAAAAATAGTCATGGCTCAATTTCTCCTGCATTTTCCTCTGGATTTTGGGTGTGCATGTACCAAGGTCCAAGACTTGAACCACATTCGGTCACATGGGAGTCTAGTACCCCAACTACTACTTCACCTGCTGGCTCCATCCAACTCTTTTTTTTTTTTTTTTTTTTTTTTGCCATAGGGCATGTGCACCTGTCAGAGAGACAGAGAGACAGAAAGTGAGAAATCATTCCCCCAAGAGAGGATGGCCACACCAGAATCTCTTCTCCTCCATTCTCCTCTTGAGATTTTGGGCACCACACTATGTGCCTGTGGTGAGTTCAAGCCTCTGGGTCTGGGACTCAAACCACAGTCAACTATGTGATAGTCCAGTAACATAACTGCTACGCCATCTATTGGTCCCTCCATCCCACTCTTAAATAAAATATCAAAAGGAAATGAAGAACACACAATCACAAAATAAGAAAGCTAAAAGTTAAAACTGATGGGACAGGGCAAGCAGGGGACATGGTGGTCAAGGGTGCTGGACTCCCACATGGATGGCCATGGTTTGAATTCTGGACCTAGTGGCTTGCTTTCTCACTTTCCTTCTCTCTTTCTCTCTCTCTGTCTCTCATTTTGTCCCTCTCTGGTCAAATTAAAATACACAGATAAATACATAAATAAAGTTAAAATTAAATAATTCTTTTTAAAAACTGATGGGATATAGTCAACATGTCAAAAGAAATAATTCATACTTTTAAATTATTAAATTGGCCACAAAAGAGAGAATCA